GATGCTGGTAACAGAGGAAGAGGAAGGCCTCCTCTGCGTTGGAAAGATCAGGTGGAGGAGGACTTGGCTTCACTTGGCATTTTCAATTGGCGTCAGTTAGCACAGAAGAGAAATGACTGGCGTGCTGTTTTGGACTCGGCCAAAATCGCTTAGGCGGTTACAGCGCCAAATAAGAAGAAGAAGATATATTACAGTATGTTTTTATATAAATAAAGAAAAAAAAGTATGCTTTTATCTAAAAAGAAAGAAAAAAGGGTCACAGGGGAAATTTGGAATCAAAAATCGGAACAATATCGTCTTCGTATAACTTACGTAAACTTTGAAACTTTTTTAAATTATGCAGGGAATCTCTACAATCCCCTGAAACTTCCAAATGTAGACGAAACGATGACAATGATTACGAAATTGAAATAAATTAATAGAATATAACATTGTTGTTTTATTTCACTGTTGCCAGTTGTACTTCAACCTAACTATATAAAATTATACGTCAAATTAAAGGTATTTTCGTGCTCTTTCTGATAAACATATCTCTTATTATAGTTAGTTGCGTATTTTTAAAAATATGCCATTAAAATCAGGAAAAGGGGTGGTGCACGGCCAATTTTTTTAGCTCAACGGCCCATATTCCAATTATTGTTTAAATGTTTAACGTAAAGTAAAAATTATGAATTTATTAACGGCTTTTTCTCGATTTTAGGGATGAAAAAACGACGAACTAACGATGAACAAACGATTGATTACAGTTAACAAATGAAAATAATGAAATTCTTACACCTGGGGTGCTAAATGCAGGAACTGTAAAATGTCAAAAATTAATTATAAATGTTTGGCTTAGGAAGAAATGTTAAAAATCGACGAACAATGAAGAACAATGAAGAACAATCCGCGAACTATCGATTGCAATAGTAACTATATTTATATATATATTTATAATTGAAAATTAATTATAAATCTTTTGCTAACGAACAAACGTTAAAAGTGGACGAACATTAAAGAAAAATCGACGAACTATACTAATACGGCTTTCCCACGCCACCCCAAGTACGTAGTTCGCTCTCTCATTCGTAATTCGCACTTCAATTACCCTCCGAATAACGTAATTCGCCATACAAAATTTTGAGAGCGAATTACCTCATTTGTTGGCAATTCATTTCCAATTACCACGCGAATCGCGAACAAATCGGTGCCGTCTTTAGTTTTGTTGTTGCCTTTCTTTGGAATAAAAATTTGGTTCTTGCGTTCCTTTACTTTTTCCTGTTATAGGGCCGGTTGCTCAAATCCTGATTGACACTAATCACCGATTAACATCGTTATCGACGTTTTCGGCTCCATGCAAATAACATGGTGTCGGTAACGTCGATAACGATGTTTAACCGGGGATTAGTGTCAACCAGGCTTTGAGCAACCGGCCCTTAGTGAGCGGATGTTGCTTACGCTCTTGCATTTTGACACTTTTCAGATTTAGTCCGAAAAGATAAGGAATGGACCCAGAATGGTACAAACACATCATTTTGACATTAAGGGCCGGTTGTTCAATGTCTGGTTATCACTACTTGCCGGTTAAACAGCATTATCGACGTTTTCGTCACCATGCTTATAACATGTGATCGATAAAGCAGTCGTTGTAGTTAACCGGAGCTTCTACATCCGATTTGTGCAAATCAGACATTGAACAACCGGCCCTAAGAAGTAACGCGGCGAGAATCTAAATTCGCCATCCACACCACCTTGTATAAATTCGCCTTGTGTTATCGGATCCGCGGATTTCACGGCGAATTTGTACCTTTTGTCAAAATGATGTGTTCAAGGCGAATTTATACAAGGTGGTGTTGATGACGAATTAAATTTTCGCCGCGGTACTACTGAATGTCAAAATGATGTGTGTGTGAATGACATTAAGACGTACCTCGGCGAAAATCTAAATTCGCCATCAACACCACCTGATGTGTTTGTTGTAATTTGGCTTTGTACGACTAGGCTCACGCCAAGGCGAATTTATACAAGGTGGTGTTACTGGCGAATTTAGATTTTCGCCGAGGTACTTCTTAATTTCAAAATGATGTGTTTGTTGTAACATGAATTCGCCTTCTTTACAACAAACACATCATTTTGACATTAGGAAGTACCGCGGCGAAAATCTAAATTCGCCAGTAACACTACCTTGTATAAATTCGCCTTGGCTCACACAGAGAAACTTTTGTTGCTCATTTTCGGCAATTTCTCTTTTGGTGTTAACCATCGCGTTCACACAGAGAAATTCTTTTGTACACAATTGTTGTTGTCAGCTGTGAACGGCCAACTAGAATTACTCAGACGAACGAGAGCACAAAGCGTGTTGCCCGAGCACGAGCAACTCGGTGCCCTTCCCCCTTCCTCGTCTCCCCCTCTCCCACAAGTAACGAGTTGCCGCGACAAAAGTTTCTCCGTCTGAACCTAGACTACTGATTCTCAATGTGGGTATATGTTGTAGTTGTAATTTTTGTTTTTGTTCTGTCAACACAACCACAGTATATACCAAGGCGAATTTGTACAAGGTGGTGTTGATGGCGAATTTATATTTTCGCCGCGGTACTTCCTAATGTCAAAATGATGTGTTTGTTGTAATCAAGGCGAATTTATATTACAACAAACACATCATTTTGACAATAGGAAGTACCGCGGCAGTAACACCACCTTGTATAAATTCGCCTTGGTATATACAGTGAACAAAAGAGAAATATCATGAACCAAAAATACAAGATCACGCCTTCTTCTTAGTAGCCCGTTATAATCGCATTTAGGAAAAAAGTTGGGCGACTTTGACATTAGCCGTTTGTTTACAATTTGGTGGTGGCTTTTTACTGCAATT